AACTCCAAAAGGGTATGGGTTTCAGCTCAGAACTTGAAGAGAGTATGCATAGCCCTGTGAGTACAGTGGAAGAGCTTAGTTCTCCTTAGGCATGGATACCAAAATCTTAGGTTGCAACAATTTTGAACCGATCATAGAATCACAGAATGGTTTAGGTTGGAAGGGACCTTAAAGATCATCTAGTTCCGACCCCCCCTGCCATGGGCAGGGACATCTTCCACTAGACCAGGTCTAGTGCTCCAGTGCTTAAAGCCCCATCCAACCTGGCTGTGGACACTGCCAGGGATGGTGCATCCACAACTTCCCTGGGCAACCTGTGCCAGTGTGAGTCTTGGCTATTTTACACTGAAGTACAGCTCTTCCTGCAGGTTACTGATGTATTTGTTAGTGTCTTCATGGTTAGAGTAAATTTTCCCAAATCAGCAACTCAGGGGTTGTTTAGCATAAGTCATGCATTCCCATGCTATTCTAGCCTACTTGCTTCTACTCAGTTTAAGTGCGTTCATGCAAAATTTTATGGGGTCTTTCCTATTAATTGTTCTCAACTATTCAAACTGAAGTAGGTGTTATACGTGGTTGTAAAGCATTGTTTAGTGTTAAAGAAAGAGCTAATTTCAAGACCACCTTTATGATACTAGGCTGGTAACCACTTGCCAAAGACTGGAACATCCCCCTTGGAACAGCGTTACAGCTACTTATATCTAATATCTTCAGGACTGTCTGTAATTCTAGGCATGACTAAATTATTCCAGTTGTGCACTTGCAGGAGAAGGCCTTTACTCATACCTTTGAAGTATGTAATGCATAGATATGCAATGTGCTTTGCATGAAGAAAGAACACATATATGCAAAGAAGTGCACATTTTAAAAGATTTTTGCCCCATGTTTGACACCACCTGGAATAGTTTAAATTTTGGGATTTGAGACTGTGCTCATCCAACTCGTGCATGTATTCTACTGAAAGTAATCAGATTTTTTTTTATTCATCTTCTTAGATAATTCAAACATAAAATGATAGGTAATACAACAAATCTGCACTGTAGTGAGAGGATTAATTAATATTTGCATTTTTCAAATGACCGTGTGAAAGGGTGTATCTAGGGTCAGGTGTTGCACGAACTTGTTTCCACTTACTAGGGCCTGGGGTTTTCTGATCTGACATTAGCAGCAAAATGTACTGCTTTGTTTTACTGCACAATCAGAAAGGCTGGAGTCAAAAGCGGTGAGATTCAGGAGGGTCTAGGTTCCTAGGTGTGTTTTGCAGCGGTATTTGTATGAGGTGCTTTAATTTCTAGCTTTTGAAGTGTGACTTGAGCTACTGCTATCTATCGAACAGGTTTGGAGACTGTTGACTGTTTTAAAGATCTCATTGTGTCCAGTTGCCAGTGGCAGTTTCCCTGCAGCTTCTGTGCCATTTTATGGTGTTAGATGCGATGGTGCATGCGGGGTTAGCATGATCTCTTTAAACAGAAGAAGTTAATACTTGATGGAATCGGTTACTAAATGTGTGTTTTTCCTGTACCGTTGGGTCAGGATAAGAGCAGTCCAGTGAAGCAGGAGATACTAACCTTGCTCTGTAGGTTGTGTGCACTTCACCATAACCCACATGCCAGGCTCGGAGTTTTGCAATCAACTGGTGAAATGAAGCAGAATTCTGAATTTTGGGGCGTGCTTTCAGAGGCGTCAGTGTTGAAGTGAGAGAAACGTAAACACTAAGAGCTACCAGGACCTGTCTCTGTTCATTTTCTGTGCCATTCATGTACCAGATGACTCAAGCATCAGTCCCGTGTCCGTGCCCCTCTTCTCCCCGCCCCCCAGAACAGGGGAATGAGACACCCTTGGGTAAAAAAAGGATGCTTGTGGGGTTTGCCCGCTGCGGGGTGGAGCCCCTCTCCTCATCCTCATCCTCATCCTCATCCTCATCCTCATCCTCATCCTCATCCTCATCCTCATCCTCATCCTCATCCTCATCCTCATCCTCATCCTCATCCTCATCCTCATCCTCATCCTCATCCTCATCCTCATCCTCATCCTCATCCTCATCCTCATCCTCATCCTCATCCTCATCCTCATCCTCATCCTCATCCTCATC